TCCCAGAGACCACAATCCCTGACCCTCACCTCTCCCTTTCTCTTCCGCTTTTATTTTCCCTCTAGGGATCCCTGACCCCCTCCCTCTGTCCGTCTCTCTCTCTCTGTCTCTCTCTCTGTCTCTCTCTCTGTGCTCTCCTTTCTCTCTCTCTCTCTCTCTCTCTCTCTCTCTCTCCACCCCAAAGCCTTCTGTCTGTGGATGACAATGGCCATGTCCTTTCCCGCACTAAGTCCCTTACTTGTCACGAGGCCCACGTGACCGACTTGTGGTCCAATCCCATGGTGACAGCAGCTTTATAGATCAGGAGCTTCAGTGCAGGCAGCCCCTCCAGGGGGACAGACGGTGGGGTCCCCTCCGCCCCCCGGGGGGCACACACAACAGGAACAGCAGCCCTGGAGCTCCGGGCCCTCACCTCCATCGCCGGTTGAGGTAACTGCAGAGCAGGTGGTTGGGAGAGGAAGTGTCACCCATGAAGGCCACAGTGGCAAAAGTCACAGTCGCCATAAAGGGAAGCAGATAGGTGACATTCAGTCACCCCAAGTGAGAGGTCGGCACTCCCCACCTCAGGCAGACTGTGAATGGGGTCTGCGGAAAACTGGCTTAGCCGTGTCCTGATTTCCCTGGGGACGGGTGGCCTCCGCCCGTGGTGTTTGCAAGCTCTGAGCCACACGCAGAGCCCTGCCACCCACAGGTGATGGTCATCCCTACTGTGAAACGGCTCTGGCTGCTTCCTGGAGCCTTGTCTCAGGAGTCTCTGCACGCAGGGCCCCCGCTGTGCACACCCTGGGCCACCTAGGGCCCCAGAGCTGGAGGGCAGACACCAGGCAGCAGCAGGGGGATCCTGGGAAGAGCAGGCCCCAGGACGGCGGCACGTCCCGACCACCCTTCCCTCGCCCCAGGCACACAGTGCTCCTCCGCCTCCCAAAACGGTGCCCTCCAAGTGTCCAGTCTCAGAGTCCACGCTTCATCTTTCCTACGGAGTAAGACCCGGAGGCGGCCATCCGCCAACTGAAGCCCTGGGGAGATGCAAGGGACAGACTCCACCTGGAGACGGTCCTGGGCACTTGGGCGAGTTTGCAGGTGCCCTGAGCTCCCTGTGCCCTGCAGGAGGCCCACTCCACCCCCATGTCACACGCACATGTGCACACAACCTTACGAGGACACAGGGCCACACTGTGCACCACGTCATATGTAGACTCACACACGTGCGCCCACAGGCCAAGGGCCACGTTGTCCATGTACAACACATGTGCACACACGTCCACCTCCCCTGACCCCTCCCCAGGGGTCAGCCACCTGCCCACAAAGACTGCAGAAAATAAAGGCACCAACTGGTCAAGGTCACAGAGAGGACAAAAGGCTCCCTGTGGGAAACCAGGCCAGGCCCGAGGGAAAGCCCAGCCCAGCCCAGCACCAGGCCTCGCCCCAGCCCCGCAGCTCCCAGCCCCAGGCCAGTCAGAAACCCACGGTGCAGGCAGCCAGAGGGTCCCAGAAACACCAGACCCTCCCAAGATGCAGACAAGAGTGGGCCGAGCCGGCAGGAAAGCAGGGTCCTCTAGCCAGGGGTGGGCTGTGCTGTTGAGTCAGGGGGCTCAGGGGGGACAGGGTAAGACAGAGGCTCAGAGGGGGACAGGGTAGGACAGAGGCTCAGAGCGGGAAGGGGTAGGACAGAGGCTCAGAGTGGGGACAGGGTAGGACAGAGGCTCAGGGGGGATAGAGTAGGACAGAGGCTCAGAGTGGGACAGGGTAGGACAGAGGCTCGGAGCAGGGGTCAGGGGTAGGACGGAGGCTCAGAGGGGACAAGGGTAGGGAGTAAACCTCAGTGGTGTCACACATCCATGTGCCCTGCGCACGCACAGTCAGCCCGTGCCGCCTCCTAGCCCTGCTCCCATCCACCAGGCTCCTCCCGCCTCAGGGCTTTGCACGTGTGTCCCTCCTGCTCCCCCAGGTCCCCACATGACCAGGCTCCTCCCCCAGGTCCCACGGGGAACCTCACCCCCTCCTGCCCCCGTCTCGGGAGCCCGGGCCTCCCCTCCCCATTCTCCCCGGAACACCTTCCCCATCAGGTCCCCCAGCACAGGACCACCTGAAACATGCTGGTCCTTCACCAACCCGTGGGACACGTGGTGGCCCCTCCATGTTCTGGGGGTGTTGATTTCAGGACCCCTCCCCCACACGTCCCCAAGTCCTCTGGTGCCCCTGTCCCTACGGCAGAACGGGCGTGTTTGCATGTGGCCTGGGCACTCCCTCCAGCGGTCTGCAGATGACTTGGGTAAAGGCCATGTGAATGGCAGCTGTGACGCTCAGGGGGAAACGGCCAGGAAGACATGGCTCCTGTTCTGCACAGACGCAGGTTCTTGAAAATGCTCCCCATCTTCCTACTGTCGGAGCGACAAATAGAGCAGGCGAGATCTGGAGAAGGACTGGCGCCCACTGGCTGCAGCTCCACAGCTGCCCAAGTCCGTGCGGCTGGGTCCCCTGGCCAGAGTCATGTTGGCTGAATATGCACCGTCCGCTGGGCCGTCTGTCCAGCAGGGGCAGAGCCCAGTCCTTCTAGAGCAGAAGGGGACAGCACCACGTCCCCGTCCTGGCCCAGAGCTGGGCAGCGGCAGAGAGAGGCAGGGGAGAGAAGAGGCGGGGGTGGCAGGCCGGGGTCTCCAGCTCCCTCCCGCTGGCCGTCCTGGTGAGGATGGTGGGGTGGAGAGAAGGGCTGGGCGGGGCCGAGCTCCAGGTGGCACAGAGGGACACCCCGTCTCAGTGACACTGAAAACCACAGCCCTGCTTCCCTCTGCGGGTCAGTCTTTTATATATTTTTGGTCGTCCGTGTACCAGAAAGACCTTTGCTTTCCGCAGTTCATGTTCCCCACAGGCCGGAGGTGCCCCTGCAGCCCCTGCAGCTTTGTGATGTTCAGACGACAACTGTCCCACCCGCTTCTGGGACCAGCCTTGACGATGTGCCGCTCCTGCTCACACCTGGCCCACCCCAATCCTGAAGCCAGGGTTCAGGCCAGCTGCCCAGACCCCACTGACGCAGGACCAAGCTGACCCGCAAAGCTGGCCAAGCAGAGAGCAGGGCCGCCCAGGCCATCGTGAGAACACCAGAACCGTACCCACAAGGTGCCTGCTGCAGAGCAGCCCCATGGGACCCGGCAGGCCCCTGGGGACGGCCAGGCTCAGGCTCCGGAGCTGGAGCCCAAGAGCCCCACGATGTTTCCATGAACCAAGAGGGACACCTGGTGGCTGTCAGAAGCGCACCCATCCCTGGACCCCACCCCTGGCCCAGCTACAGGGCTCACTTTGGGAGTCCTGCTGGGCGGGACCCCCAAGCTTATCGACTTTCGGTCTCTATAATAACCTCCCTGAGCTAATTAGCTCCTACAGGGAAACCGGCTCTTTGGGCTCCTGGTGTTAGAGGTTCGGTCACAGTCGGACAGACTCTCGCTTAGTAGTGGGTTGGGAGCAGATGGCAAAAGCCGGCACTCATGGTGGACCAGGACACAGGGAGGACAGGGCCCACCTCTCCTCTCAAGGACACTCCCCCAGTGACCCAATGGCCTCCCACTGGCCAGGCATAGTGGGGATTGCACACCTGTAATCCCAGCGACTCAGGAGACTGAGGCAGGAGGATAGTGAGTTTGAGGCCAGCCTCAGCAACTCAGTGAGACCCTGCCTCAAAATAAAAAAATAAATAAAAAGAGCTGGGGATGTGATTCACTGGTGACTGTAACAAAACACCTAAGACAAACAACTTACAGGGAGGACATGTCTGTCTGGGCTCCCAATTTCAGAGGTTCCAGTCCATGGTGAGCTGGCTCTGTCACCTTGGGCCTGTGGCAGAGACCATGCCCCTTGACGGGGGCACAGGAGGGAGCAGTCACCCACTTTGCAGCAGCCAGGAAGAGGAGAGAAGAGGGGCTGGCTTCCTGCTGTCCTGCCCCAGGCACGCCCATGGCCCTAACTTCCCTCCACTGTGCCCCGCATCTCAGAGGTCCAGTGACCTCCCAGTAGTGCCGTGGCCAGTGACCAAGCCTGTGCCACTTGGGCCTTCAAGGGATGTTCCAAGTGAAAACTGTAGTCATGGGTGTGGGGGCCACTCCCCTGGGTACCTCTGAGCAAGCCCTGGCTCATCCCCTCTTGTGTCCTTTCCCATGGTGACAGGGCCACAGGGAACTGGGATGGGGTGGCAGAATGTGGGAAGCTGTCCACCTGGAGCACGGCTCCTTCCCTGTCACCAGAGCCCACAGACCTGGAGAGGGGCAGAGTGGACACTGTGGGCCTCCAAAGTGGGGGGCTGGCCCCAGCTGTCTGCACAATGTGAGAAAGTACAGTTCGTCCCTGCTCAGAGTCATAGGAGAGTCCCGCAGCGTCGCCCCTTCCACCCACAGAGCAGAGCCCTGGGGTGACCTGGAATGAACGGTGGCCTCTGCTCTGCCCAGCTGTCGGGGCGCCTCTGGGTTATTAGCAGGACACCACTGCCACCTAGTGCTCACAGGGGTGAACAGCAGGGACCTGAGGCTGCAGGTGGACGGGCCACCTGGGGAGCTCTCTAGACAGAGGCCCCCAGGCCCAGAGACAGCTCTCTGAATTACACACCAGCAGGTGCCACTGCCCCAAAATAGACCACGCCCAATTTCTGGACAGGTGTTGAAAACACCTTGTTAAGACGTGAGCCCAGCCCCTTGTTACCCCACTAACAAAATGGAGACAGGCCAAGCCCCAGGGTGAATGGACCAGCTGTGCACCCACAGGCCACTCCTCCACCTCCCAGGGGCTCTAAAATGGCCTCTGAATTGGGTGGATCAGACCCAGGGAGAATTGCACAATCAACACCTACATGTCCAGGAGGACTCACCCCGGTGAGGGGGGACGGCACCCGTCACGCCTGCCCCATCTCAGACACCCACCACCCAGCTACAGGACCATTCCCTGCAGGATCCCAGCCCAGGGGCCCAGGGCAGAGCTCTCTGTCCATGAGAGGACACAGAAGTCAAGACAAGCAGTACAATCGCTCAGGTTTTAATCTTTGCAATTAGGTTTTGTTTTGTTTTGTTTTGTTTTTTTCAAAAATTCAAGCAAAAGATACAGACCTCAGGATTCACTCCACCGAGAACGCACACTCAGCTTTCGAAAACAGCAGGCAAGCCGGGCACCTCGGTGCACTCCTATAATCCCAGCAGCTCAGGAGGCTGAGGTAGGAGGATCACAAGTTCAAAGCCAGCCTCGGCAACTTGCAAGGCCCTAAGCAACTCAGGAAGATTCTCTCTCTAAATAAAATATCAAAAGGGCTAGGCTATGGCTCAGGGTTGAGCGCCCCTGGGTTCCATCCCCAGCACAGAAAACATAAATAAAGGGAAGAAGAAAACAGCTGACAGGGACCCACAGGACAACTCTCTGTGCATCTTCAGAGCATCTAGGTGGAGAGGGGAGCTGCTGAGGAGAGACGGCCACTGCAGCTGGGACCGCGGAGTGAATACTAGGCCACGGGGACAGAAAGCCTCCCGGGCGGATGGTACTGGGGACAACCTGAGCCTGGGAATTCCACCCATCGGTTAAGTGACACGTTGGGTCAAGGCTGAATGTCCTGGTAAGTGCACTTCTCTCTCCCGAGGGTGTCCTGTTGGTAAGCATGGCCGCAGGTGCAGGGGCCGAGGGCAGTGTGTCTGCAGCAGCCCTCCCGAGGTCAACAGGAAGACATGGACCTTCAGCCACCAGTGTGTGGCTGGACATCCACAGCTGGCCTTGACTTAGTCCTGGCTCCCAGACTGGCACAATACACTTCATATTATCGCTGGATTCCACTGTTATTGCATTGTTTATGCTGTTGTGACAAAGACAATGTGAAATGATTTCAGTTATTGTGCATGGTCTGGCCAGGCCCTGGGTGTCTACCTCCTGGCTGGGTGCCCCCCAGGGACTGCAGGACCAGCACCATGTGGATGGTCAGGCTGGCAAAGCCAGGTGGAGGGGGAGACCCGGTTCACCCCTCCTCACCGCCCCTCCCCTCTGTCAGTGGGACGGTGACCTCTTCCTGCCCAGCTTGCCACATGACCAGGACCAGTGTCATAAGCCAGTCCCAAACTGTCATTTAGTTCTAACTTTGGTTCTATTCTGGGTCCAGCGGTGCCGCTAGCCCCCTGGGTGACCTTGGATGAGTGTATCAACCTCTCTGAGCCCAATTTTGTTATTGGTAAGATGGGGCAGGGGCTATAACCACGTGTCATCCTGCAATGGCTGACAGGCTGGGGGCGACTGGGTTAGGGAGGCGTTGGAGCCAAGCTGTGGGGGAGGGGAACACAAGGCACCTGCCAGCTGTGATTGACACTCCTCTCCCTGGGGCCCTGGAGAACAGCTGTGATTTCTCTCTGGCTGCCCTGCATCCTCCAAGGCAGGAGACGGGAAGCCCTGGTCAGGCCCCAGCAGGGCAGCAACAATGCCCATGAGCATGGAGTTCCCAGGACAGAGGGATGTCCCTCCTTGTCACCATCACACAGCTGGGAGGCCCATCTCAGCACAGCCCCAGCCCATGGCTCCTGCCTGCCCGGGAACAGCAGGTCCTGCAGCTCTAGCAGGACATGGGGCCTCTGCACCAGGCTCTTCAGGGCCCACCCAGCACCCAGAAGTCCCGCCCAGCACCCCATGACCTCGTGGTTCAGATGGCCTGGGGGGGGGGGCTTCAGGAACACCTGGTGCTGGAGGGGCTACAGGAGAGCGGTGCCTGTCCCCACTGCTACCTCTGCCAGGAAGCTCAAAGACAGCACTGCAAAGTCCCCACTCTGGGTGTCTCGGGCGGCAGGTGCCATGGGCCTGGCACCCGCCTGTCTGGCAGCGGGTGAGTGAGCCCTGAGTGAGCCCTGTGATTCCCCTGGGGCCAGGAGAGCCGGGTGTGGCACAGCCTGGCCCTGCAGCTGCAACGCCCACGTTCACGTCCCCCTCCACGAGCCTGGCGGTGCCCACGCCGCAGACAGCGGGGACGCCATGGCAAAGACCGCAGCCTGGTGGCTCAGCAACAGCTTAGGAGGCTGAGGCAGGAGGTTTCAAGTTCAAGGCCAGCCTGGCAACTTAGCGAGACCCTGTCTTAAAAAATGAAAAGGGCTGGCGATGCGGCTCGGGCAGAGCGGCCCTGGGCTCAGTCCCCAGTCCCAGGGGAATGGAGAAGAAGACTTGAGGAGTGGGGGGGTGTGATGTGCCTGGAGCGAACACAATGCTGAGAGCCGTGCCCGCCCGTCCCGAGTGGAGGAGGACAGCCGCTGGCCAATGACCTCCCTGTGACTGTATAGTCCCCTGGGCTATCAGGTGCTTGGCTCCCATGTGTCCCAGCCACCCTGGAATGTCTCCAAGGTCACAGCATCTGCCATCTGCAACAGCTGGCAGAAGAGTCCACACGCAGGTGCCCCACTGCCCAGGGCTGCCCAGGGGCTGCTCTTCCGCCTCGTCCTCTGCTCTGCCGGCTCTGGAGGCTGCCAGGAGACTCGGGCCTCCCCCCCCCAGGCGAGGGGAGGCTGCACTCAGCTCCATCGCCCGCAGTTGAATGCCAGCTCTCCTGCTCGGCAGCTCCTCCGCCCCTGCTGACCCGCCTGCCTCCCGGCCCAAGGTGGGCTCTGCGGCCACAGGCCCGGGGCCAGCTCTTCCCTGCGCCGGTGGCATTTCCTCCTCCATCCTGCAGTGATCTTTTCAAAACCCAAATCAAAGAGTTTTCTTTTCAAACATGTTTTTTCTTTCTGTGGGGAAAAATACTTTAGGATATAATAAAATCCGCGGAGCTGCAGAGCATCATCTGTCAGTCTTTGTCCAAAGAATAAAGTCAGACAAAATACAAAGGCTGATGATCCACTCAGATGCGGCTCTTCAAGAAGTCAAAATCACAGAGACAGAAAGAAAAGGGAACGGGATGGCCAGGGGCGGAGGGAGCGGGAGCGGGTGGGCTTGGTGGGAGCACAGTTGCAGATTTGTAAAAAAAAAAAAAAAAAAAGCCCTGAGTTGGATGGTGATGAGGTCACACAAGATTCTAGCTGCATTAAAACGGCTAAAATTCACCAGGTGCATCTCCAGCCCTTTTCATTTTTTATTTTAAAACAGGGTCTCACTAAGTTGCCAGGCTGGCCAGCAACTTGGGAGGCTGAGGCAGGAGGATTGCAAGTTGGAGGCCAGCCTCAGCAACTTAGCAAGACTCTAAGCAACTTAGTGAGACCCCCTCTCATAAGGGGGCTGAGGATGCGGCTCTGTGGTTAAGCACCACTGGGATCAATCCCTGATTTAAAAAAAAAAAAAAAAAGTTAAAAACCTGGTCCTGGAAATAAGAACAACCGGCCTTCCTGGCAAAGGCTCGACTTGTCCACCAGCTTAAGTCTTCAGGACCACGAACCCCTCGGCTCCACCTGCCCCGGGAACTGTCGGAAACCACACAGCACCTGAGGGGGTCTCACTGGGCAGGCTCAGGTGAGTGCCTGGTGCTCTCTGAGCCCTCCCGGGGTTTTGGTCACCCACCTGCTCTCACCCTGTCTGTTTCCAGGGCCCTGTGCATCGTGTCTTGGGCCTGAACCCAGAGGCCACGCAGGGCACAAGCCATCTTAAAATCCCGTTCTCGATGGTTCACTATGTTCAGAGAGACTGGCTCCCTGAGGGGACCCGGGGGGCTGAGCCTGGGGGCTGCTCCAGGCGGGTTCTCACGTGGGGCTGTCACCCGCAGGGACTGTGGTACCTTGTTCTGGTGGGTGGGATACCCGTACTGTGACAGAAAGCCTGGGTGGTTTTGTCACTGTGACCTGACCAGAACCACCTGGAGGAAGAACAGGTTACCTTGGCTCCTGGGTTCCGAGGCTCTGTCTGTGGTCCGGGGACTCCATAGCTCTGGGCCCAGGATGAGGCAGGACATCATGGCGGAGGAGCCTGGCAGGAGAGGGCAGCTCTCAGCCCCTGACAGTCAGAGAGCGACCCAGTTCTCCAGGGACAAAACATGCCACCCAAAGGCTCAACCCTGTGACCTACTCCACCAGCCACAGCCCGCCCGCCCACAGTCACCGCCCTGTACTAGTCCTTCCGACTGCCTGGTCCATCAGATGGATTAATCCACTGCTGGGGGGTCGGGTCTGATCGTCTCACCCTGAACACTCCTGCCTCACCCCTGAGCTCTGGGGACTCCTCGTGTCTGAAGATAGCAAGTGGCACCAAGGTCTGTGTCACCTCTACATCTTCCTCAGCATAAGCTGCTCCTTGCCACCACATGTGAGTGGGCACAGCCTCTGACCACTGGGGAGGACACAGTGGCTCTGGGTGGCCTCTCACACAGGGACTTGCTCTGCCCCAGTCACAGCAGCTCCGGGGCCAGCCTGGAAGGGGCTCATCAGTCCCTGGAGACCTGGACCCCAGTGCTCAGGGCTCCTCACACACACCCCTTGTCACAAGCAAAAGTCACCCAAGATGCCAGCTGCCACCTGCAGCCCCACCCTGGGCAGGAAGAATGACATGGAGCCCTGCCACTGCCCCACTGTCCCGTCAGGGATCTGGGCAGCCCATCTGGGAAGGGGCACATGTGGGATGGTCCCTGATCTCACAGGACATCGTAGGCCAAGTGAGAACATGTCCACTCCCCCAGGACATGGTGTGTGAACCTGAAACTCTGGAACCGAGTCTTGGTCCAGGAAAAGCACCTCCCGGTTCAGCGGGGAGCTCACTCAGAGCCCAGAAGCCATCGCTCGCTGTCCAGAAGAGAGCCCGTCCCAGCTCAGGCACCCAAACAGCCCAGCCCAGAGAGCCAAGTCCCTGCCACAGCTCAGAGACAGACCAGGGGCCAGCTCACCCAAGGATGGGAAGGACCCGTGCACCCATCTGCACCCAGAGCCACCCAGGTAGCCCCACCCACAGTCCGGAGCCCAGCGCAGCCACTCAGCTGCCCACTCCGGCCACTGGAGAAGTCTGGCCCCATGGAAATAGTCAAGATCAAAATGGCGTCACTGACGTTCACCCCATCAAACAAATAAAGCCAGGGAGACGCCGTGGGGGGTTCTCACACACGATTGCCGAACGGTAACTGCACCAGAGACTCTGCTACAGACAACTGTCCCTTCAGCCCTGGGCTGACATCACCCTTGTTATTACTCCCTGTGGTCAAAATTTCTTGTGAAATCATCCTGATTTGTTGCCTTTCAAAACTGGCCCCAGCCCTGGCCCCGGCCGCTCTGAGCACACGTAACTCACTACGGCTTGTGAATTCCCGTCGTGAGATTCTGCTCTTCCCAGACCAATGTGATCCCACTTGGGCCTTAACCTCTTTGAGTTTCTCGGTCAACAACCGAAAGCCCAGCAGAGTCCAGATCCAAGGTTGGCAAGACCCAAGGAAGAGCAACGGGACCAGTGGCGAGACCAGCCGGCCCGTGAGTCACCCAGGGCCTGGCACTGTCAGGACCCAGCACCAGCCTGAAGCCACCACCCCCCTGTAGGGCTCACAGACGCCCCGACCGTGAGGCCCAGACCACGTCCCAGGCCAGAGGCGGCCCCCGGAGCCCCTCAGCAGAGCCCAGCCGGAGCTGGCCTTCCCCAGGAGGAGGCCGAACCTGCCACCGTCCCACAGGCCGAGGCACAGGGCCTGCTCCCCAGGAGTGACAAGTTCCCAGGGAGGGACAAAGAGTAGCAGAGACAGCCCAGGAGTCCAAGTCCCCAGCCCAGACTTCAGGCTGGACAGCAGCCCTCGAGGTCTCCGAGCAGGGACTGAGCACACAGCGGCTCCTCCACAGGGGGACGTCGCAGGATCCCGCAGCCTTCAGGGACAGTTGGACCTTCCCTGATCCAAACTGAGAACAGTCCTAGGTGCTTCAAAGCCCAACCCACTGGCCTCTACCTGTGGCTCCTCTGAATGGAGTCCCTCTTCTGGGTCTGGGTGGTACAATGGGGAACAGCACTGGCCCTGGGACCAGGTTACCTGAATTCTGGTCCTGGCCCTTCTACTTCTGCCTGTGTGATCTTAGGCCAGTCACTCAACTTCTCTGAGCCCTCACTTCCTTCATCTGTAAGATGACAATAAATTGTGCCTTTTTCCCAGAGGAGGATTCGAGGTATTTAACCACCAGGGTTGGCCAGCCACCAACCACGGGGGCCCTCGTGCGGTAAATCCTCAGACACCAGGGATCCATCCTCAGCACCAAAAAAGAAGACAGAAAATGATTTGCTTTGTTCGATCCAGGTTTGATTGAATCCTCAGGTGTGGAACCTGCAGATCCGACGGGCCAATGGTCCGTGCCAAGGAGTTTACATAAATCACCTCTGATCCCGACAGGCTGATGCCACTAATGCATAGGCCACAGGAGGAGGTGGGGTCAGGCTTTGGTGGAGACCCTGCCCATGTCAACTCCTTGTAGCTCACAGCGGGAGGCCCACAGAAGACAACGCGGAGACCCGGGAGAAGGACAGCGGTGACGAGCCAGCAAAGCCATCTGGGGAGAAGCCACCCAGAACTCAGGCTCCAGCCTCCAGCTCACTGATCAGGCCATCCGGCCCCTGGCTCTTCGTCACGGTGGCCCTGGCAAACTAGCACGGTGAGGACAGCTCCAAGTCCAACCCATGAGGTTGGCGCCAGTGTCCACCACGAGTCCCTTAATAAGGGTGTGCGTCTGTGCCGCTGCTTCCAGAATAGAAAACATGAAAGTGGTATTTGCAGAGGGAGACACAGACCTGCCCAACTTCCCCCTGGCCCAGCCGGCCTCCTGCGGGTCAGGGCTGTCCTGGGGGCCAGAAGAGAGACGCTAGGGCTGTGGTGGCTTAGAGTGCACTTGGGGGTTTGCATTTGCCCTGCGTGTCCATCTCCAACCTCCTTTATTCTGCATCCCTCCCGCCCCCCACGCACAGGGACAGAAGGCTAAAATCTGCTTGCCAAGGTCCTTTTGCTGCTAAGGTTCTGTATGCATTTCATGTTCAGCTAATGAAACATGATGTATGAGATCAGGAAAGATCTGGAAGGCGGAAGAGAGGCAGAGGGAGGCTCCAACAGCCTGACATTCGCACTCCGGCTGACAGGAAGGTTTGTAATGCCTGGACTCCCCGAGTCACCCTCGAGTCACCTGCTCATGGCTGTGACCTCAGCAGTTGGTCGCTGATGCCCCCTGCAGCTCCACGACCCAGGACAGCAGCAGTTGTCTGACCTTTAAGCTGTCACAGCTGCAATGACAGCTCCCTGGATTCCTTTCTTCCAATCCTTCCAACAGTTTTGTAAGCACTTAGTTACTTGTGCTAAATGCCTTTCTGCTTGAAATGCTGAAAAGTTGGGTATGTCAGCCAAGTGTAACAAAACTGGATTACTTAAGAGGAAAATGGCTGCGCAATCATTTGAATCAGTGGCTTGATCCCCAGCTTGGCAGTTTTGGGAGGTGGCGTGGACCTTTAAGAGGTGGGGCCTATTGAGAGGGCTTTAGGTCATTGGGGGGGGTGTCTTTGAAGGAGATGGTGAGCCTTCTCCTCTTTCTCTGCCTCCTGGTTTAAGATGTGGCTGCTCACTCCTACACGCACTTCCTGCCAGTACCACCTAGACCCCCCAACCAGAGGCCCAAACTACTAACACAGTAATAGTTAGATGTGAGCCTCCCAAGCAGTGATCTAAATAAACCAGCTCTTAGTTGCCTCCAGTGTTTTGTTATAGCCACCCAGCGCTGACTGATACGGGCCCTGACTTTGAACTTGATGCTATTTTCTGGACAAAATGAATCACCTAAAGTCCCTTGGAAAACACTAGAGGAAAGGAAGTATGTAGAAAATAATTTTAATTGTCCTCTCTGGGGAGACATTAAGTGCTTTCAAAGGTTAAACCTTTTCCTAAGAAAGGTAGAAAAAAAAACTCTAGTTTTTGTTTAAAATATATTTACTGAGCATGACTAGTGATGCCATAAATATGTCCTGAGTACCATGTGCTAAGCATTATCCTGAGACAATTCCAAACCTCCTAAGGTGTTAATGATAAAACCCCATGTTACTCATCTCAAAGTTTTTTTCAGTTATTTTTATAGATGTTACAAATATGTACATATTATTCCACATTCCTAATTTCACCTCTAAGTTTTTTAAAAATATTTCTTAATTGTAGATGGACACAATATCTTTATTTTATTTATTTTTATGTGGTGCTGAGGATCGAGCCCAGTGCCTCATGCATGCTAAGTAAGTGCTCTACCACTGAGCCACAACCCCAGCCCTATAATTTGAGTCTTAGCTATTGGGTCTAATATATTTCCCATCTCCAATTACCTTATTTTCTTAAAATATTATTTTATCTTCTAGACTTTTTATTCAGTGTAGTAGTCAGCTTTTACTAGTTTGTGCTGCAATAACAAACAGCCCCACATCTCAGTGACTTACAACTGAACAAATCAGCTGTATCTGAGAAATGCTGTCCTCACAAAAGAGAAGCAGATGCCAGGGGCTGTTAGGACCACAGTGCCTGGTAAAGCCTCTGTTTACCTGTCCACTGACATACCATTGGCCAAGCCAGCCACACCCTCGGCCTAGTGTCCACGCATATGCATATTCCCCCACAAGAGGCAGGCACGGCACCTGGGAACAGGATGTGTGGTTCTGTTTCAGAATGGAGTGACACTTTGCCAGGATCCAGAGTAGGATCCCCCACATTCTTGCAGGTAAAGTTTAAATTTAATGGGTTGGTTGTGGATTGGTTGATGGTTTTTGGTTTGGGGTTTTGGGGGTTTGTTTGGTTGGTTTGGTTGGGTACTGGGCATTGAACCCACAGGGACATAACTACAGAGCTACATCCCAGCCCATTTTTGTTTTTTATTTTGAAACAGAGTCACATTAAGTTATTCAGGCTGTCCTCAAACTTGTGATCCTCCTGCCCCAGCCTCCCAAGTCACTGAGATCACAGGTGTGTGCCAGCTTAACATCCTTTTGAC